TTATTTTTTTTTCTTATAGAGGTAAAGTTGGTTTTATATTTGGATATTCAGACATTCTCCTTAATAATATCATTTCAGAAAAAAATTCTTTGCAAATTCTAAATAGGAAAATCATATTAGCAGACAATGATTAATGATTAACAAAGTACAGCATTGTTCACAGTGAATTAGATAAGTGTTGATATTGTTTTTAAATCATACTTGCATGCTAATTCCGATCGAATATTCAAAGTAATATGGTAAACAATATAGAGACTTCTAAATGAACGAATGTGTGAATATAAAACCAACTTTACCTCTATCTTTTTCTTTTCATTTTTGGAGATACAAACTGTACAATTACATATTAGATAAATATTGCACACATTCTAGAAACAGTGTTAAATTAATTTACAGAGCTATTTTGTGCTTTATTAAAGGAGTCATTGAGTTAAAATTATTTATTCTATTTTTCATGATTTTTTTTAGATTGAGAAATGCCCATTGCAGTCTCGTGGACAGAGGACCTTGCACTCAAAAAAATGATATGTTGGCTTTAATTAACTTTTTTATGTCAACAGGTTCCACGTAACCGAGTTAAGTTACCTTAAAGAAAGAATATTCCTTTGAGTGAACTTAAGTTAGTTACATAAAGGTAAGGTAATGTTGTTTAGTTCAATCAACACAACATTTATAATTAACTTTAATTTATTTACACTGCTAAAAAAATCCTTTCAATTTACTGAAAAATACCGGCAGTGGTTGCCAGGAATTTTTCTGTAAAAATACGGAAGTTTTATATAACTGTTTTAATTTACAGAAAATAACCATATTTTATCAACTGATACAATGCTTAGTTCCCAAAAACCTAGTTTAGCTCACAAAAACGTAGTCATTCAATGCACTAATGTGTTCATGTATGTATAATTAGCAAACAGATTTTCCCTGTATTTGTAACTACACAGTTACTTTTAAACAAAAGAAGATGCAGTACAACATCAGCTATCCTTAGTTTATATTGGACTTGCACACAGATGCTACTATCCTCCACAATGGTGCACCATAATAGTTCAATTTATTCTATTTCACTTGTTGGTTTCTAAATTTATTTAACATTTTATTCAATTTGTTAATTTTTGTATTTTTTTCTGTTAATATTTAACTTATTTAATTTTTTAAATTTTTTATTCCATGTTCATTACTGTTTTGTTGACCAATGTTAAATAAATATTGCATTTATAAATGACTGGTCTTTGACTTTTAAGTCCACTTTGTTTCAGTTTCTGTTTGCCTTTAACATTTTATTTACATTGTTTATTTATATTGTTAATTCTGTATTATTAATAACTAATTTAATAATTTTACATTTTCTACTCTATTTTCATTACTGTTCTGTTGACAATTGTTAGATAAATAATGCATATATAAATAACTGACTACTCCCTGACTTTTAATTCTATACACTGTAGCTCTATGACATTTCTATTGATCATTTGTACATTAAAATACAGAACAATAATAACCATAAGCATAAGAGTGTGTGTGTGTGCGTGCACGTGCATGTGTGTGTGAGAAAGAGAGTGTGTGTGAGAGAGAGCTTATGTGCATGTGTGTGTGTGTGACATATGCGTGCGTGCCTGTGTGTGAGTGTGTGTGCATGTGTGAAAGAGAGAGCGCGTGTGTGTGTGAAAAAGAGAGAGCATGTGTGTGTGTGTGAAAGAGAGAGAGCGTGTGTGTGTGTGTTTTCCAGAGATGGGTTGCGGCTGGAAGGGCATCTGCTGTGTAAAAACTTGCTGGATAAGTTGGCGGTTCATCCCGCTGTGGCAACCTCGGACTCTTGGTCCTCCATAATAATCACACTTAAGACTAATCATGCGTACAATTCAGGCTTAAATGTGAATAAATTATATTTTAAACATTTAATAAAATAACAGTGATTTAAAAATGCAATAACATTTTAGTGAGCAGAATAAGCTTATTATAAAGTATTCCAAACTTTTTACTGTGGCTGTATATTATAGTTATTACTACTATTTGTTGTGCAACATTTTTTTTTTACATGGGTGGAAACCTTTGTTGAACCCACCTGTTTCTGATGTTTGCTGGGGAGCGATTCTGAATGTCTGGCAACTGTGCAGAGCTAAAAAAAAATAAAGATCACGGTGTTAAGTAGTTTGAGGGGGCATGTGGTACATTGTCCAGTGGCTCCCAGTGCTTCAGCATCTCTGTACATGTTGTAGGTGGAGCTGGTGGTACTGCTGGTGCTGGTTGTGGCCAAATCATAGTGGGAACTATAGTAAAAGTTCAGTGGCATCTGAGGTAACAGGAGGATATTCTATTGATGGAGCAGGTGGAGGAAGTGGCTTTGGTGCTGGTCCAGATTCCTCGTCATCTCATCAAAATTAAACGGAAACTTGTTCAAATAGATTATAATTGCATTTGACTTTTTTTTTACTTGAAATGACAATCTTTTTGCTAAATTAAAATAATTCAACCCATTCTTTAAAGAGGGTTTTGCTTGTCACCCTAAAGAGTTTTACACAATTATTAATGTTATTCCTAAAAACATCACAGTATTGATCAGAGGTTTTCTTTCACACTATTCTGTAATGTCCGCTCTTCCATCTTTATTTTTAGAGATACAAAATGTAATAATAAGTTTTAAATGAATATTCTTATTTAAAGGCTTCATCCTAATCAGCTCAGACCTCGTTTATTTTAAAAGAATTTAATTCACAGAAATTAGAAAAATAAGAACAAGTTACATTTCTTTTTTAATTCTCCCCAAAATTAAAGAACTTCAGTTAAAATGATTAATCATGTGTATTCATCAAAAGAATTCCTGAGATTAAAATTTGATACTGAGGAGAACTTGCCAATTTTGTGAAAGTTATTGAAAACACTGAGCATGTTTTCTACAACTGCATATACTCATGTACATAACTTATAATACATAATGTCACGCGCAGAATCCCACAGATTTTCTGCAGATTTTTAGCCCATCATTAATTCTATTTAGTAGAAATATTATATGAGAGACTTGCTTTGTTTACCAGATAAAGTTAATCTAATTGGATTTGCATTTTAAACATTAAATAAAAGTTTAAAAGATATTATTCTTTGTTTCACATATTTAGGATTTAGTTATAATACTCCCAAAATATTTTGGCAGAAATTAACAGATTTTTATCAAAATTCTTTGCAGAAATAGCAAAAAACGTCGACAGATTCTGTCTGGCCCTACACATGACTCATAATACATAGTGCATAATACAGAATGTCTCATGTCAATATCCATGTAAACCCTTTTTACAATAAACAAGTTAAATTTGGTGTAACTAAAACAAATTGTACACAGCATTACCTGGTTAACAACCTTTTATGCTTTGCAAAACATTCTTCATTTATAAATGCAGGTTTTTGGACCTTCTTTTAAAGTGTGACTTTGAGATTATTAGACTCATGAAAGGCCTAATAAAAGTATCCTCTTTCAATTTTTATTTTGCTTACCTATCATTGCTGGTTAGTAATAGTATATATATATATATATATATATATATATATATATATATATATATATATATATATGCAGACAGCATACAATATAATATATTAGTCCACATGAGCAGTACAATATGTATTGCATATTAATAATAATTGGAATTTACAGATAGCTGAAGTCCTTCAGTAGTCTGTTAAGTCCTGGAATTAGCATGTAAGCTAACAAATCAGTCATGTTCTCATTCACAATTGAGACACTGGGTTTCCCATACACCAATTTATTTGTAGTTGTGTGGGAGTTTTCACATGAACATTTCTTTAAGGGAAACTAGTTGTCTACAGAAAGTTTAATTGTCTGAATACAGGAAAACGTTTTTATTTTCTAAAATCAGTCCATCAAAATAAATGTGTAGTGTTCTGAAACCAAAGTCTTCTTTTGTTACCCACAACACATCAAGATTTGATCAAGTCAAAATCTCATAATCTGACACAAATCTGATCTGTTGTAATTGGCAAATGGCATTGTGTAGTCTGATCAGGGCTTTATGGAGTCTGCATCAGTCTCTCACTGTCATTGCAAGTTCACACCAGCCGAGTTTAGGTGGATTTTTATTCACCAACAAGTATTGTGAAACTGCAGACAAAAGCCCAAAATTGGAGGCAAATCGGTGTTTGTTCAAGGGAGTGAAAATCAAACAATGTGAATAATCAAAAACACAATCTAAGAGTGTAGGACAGTTTTCTCTGCATCTCCCCAAACATTTTCTCCTCCCTAATCTTTCTAATTCTCTTTTCAGAGCCGACCATTTGATTGCAGTGTGCAATGTGCACAAATTTGGTTCTCAGTTCATAATAACTTAAAACACATATAGAGTTATTTTGCTTTCTTGCAAAGAAGAAGTAGAAACTCTCACAACCTGGTACATCTTCACCCCTCTTCAGTTATTGAGTTTAAATCTTCAGGTTCAAAAGGTTTCATTCCAGTAACTTGAGATGTATTCAAGAGTTCACACTTGTCCCGAGATGCTATTCCATGCTATCCCGGGTGAGAGCCTTAAGCTCCGCTTGACAAGGCCTCATTTTTTCTCTCCATTGTGAAGCTTCATATGATTGACGAGGCTTCTTTTATGTTTAAAGCCCTTTCCACACTCACTGCATCGAAAACGCTCGCCTGAGTGAATCTTCATGTGTTGCTTTATGGAGTCTTTGCATGTGAGACTCTTTCCACAATGATCACATGTGGTTCCAGTGTGACCATTGGTGTGATTCATGAGCCTAGCTTTGGTTGTGAAGCTCTTTCCACAATGAGCACATGCAAACGGCTTCTCTCCAGTGTGACTTATCATGTGGTGATCGAGTGTGTTTTTACATCTGAAACTTTTACCACACTCTGTGCATGTGTAAGGTTTCTCTCCAGTGTGAATCCTCATGTGGATGGTAAGGTTTTGTTTTTGAGAAAAACCTTTCCCACACTGTGTGCAAATAAAGCTTCTCTCTCCAGTGTGAGTTCTCATGTGGACTTCAAGGTTGCCATTTTGCTTATAACTCTTTCCACACTGGAGGCAAGAGTAAGGCTCCTCCCCAGTGTGAATTCTCATGTGCGCTGCCAAGTTTCCTGTAGTATAGAAGCTTTTCCCACACTTTTGGCATGCATACGGCCTCTCTCCAGTGTGAATTCTCATGTGCACTGTTAAGTTTCCTATAGTATAGAAGCTTTTTCCACACTGTTTGCAGGTGTAAGGTTTCTCCCCTGTGTGAACTCTCATGTGAACATCAAGGTTTGACCTTTGACTGAAACTCTTTCTACACCGTTTACAGCTGAAATTACACCCAGATTTGGATTTCCGAGGTCTTCCGCGTGATGAAGTCTTTTTAGTGAGTGTGGGTTTTTCATCAGTTGTTATTTCTTGGTGTTTTTTTTCTTCCATTTCATTCCATTGATGAGTCTCTTCTTTCAGCACCATCAGGTCTTTAAAAAAAGAACAAAAAAAGTTAACTTTAGTATGAAAGCACAAAGTGGTAAGCATGATATGGATATTTACCCCAAATATTAAAGGGACTCTACTATTTACTCTCCATCATGTGCTTTTAAACATTTCCTTTCTTCTGGAACACAAAGTAAGCCAGCGTTTTTATCACAATATCTTATTTTGTGTTCAACAGAATCAGGAAACTCATCAAGGTTTAATACCACACAATGGAAAGTCAATGGTGAGGCTATTTACATTTTTGGGTCAGAAATACCTTTAAAGAGTTCCTATTATGAACCTTTTTTACAAGATGTAAAGTAAGTCTTTAGTGTTCCTAGAATGTGTCTGACGTTTCAGCTCAAAATCAGATTATATACCTTGCAGAATATTTCATTTTGGAGGTCAGAGAAAAACCAAGCTCTTTTTGTGCCTGTGGCTGTAAATGCAAATGATCAAATGCTCTAGATTACTTATGTTGTGTTCCCTCATGTGCATCTCTTTCTTGGAAAACCTGATTGACACAAATCCTGCATGTTCATAGCAAGTGCGCATAATTCAGCTTATATTTGTGAGTTTGCATTATTGTATATAACTTATGCAAATGTTTTCCGGTACTGGTTTGCAGCTGGACAGGCATCCGCTGTTTAAAGCATATGCTTGATAAGTTGGTGGTTCATTCCACTGTGGCGACCCCTGATGAATAAAGGGAGTAAGCCGAAGGTAAATGAATGAATGAGCTTGTGCAAATGCTTAATGCCATGTTTGCTGTAAATTGAAGTGATGAGAAGATGGCAAGATGACATACTTTGCTACTGGTATTCATTCATTTGTACTTTTGTTTTTGTTTTCTTGCCTTTGTGCATGTCCTGAGGCTTAGCTGAAGACCTACATGATGACATTTTATATACCTGACAAAATGCAGAAATGCCATTTAAAAAAAAGGTTATCTGCTGTTTGTCCAATCAGGGACAGTGACAATGTAAATATACAAATAATATTGTTAACCCGGTGTTTGCGAATGTGAACTGTCTGTTAATGAACACCCAGGATTATTTTATAACCCCAGGTATAGCATGAGCAGTGTGAAACGTATTTACAGGTAACCCAGGATTCTGTTTATCCAGGGTTAGAATGACCCAGGGTTAACAATTTCAAGTGTGAAAATTCCTAAGAATACTCAGCATCAGCTCTCAGAATAGACGTAGTACAACGACAAACAGCAACATATAAACATTCTCAATCATGTCATAGTGACCTGATCTCATTTGCTATTGATTTAAAACTTACAATTCAGTTGCCTATTGGAGAAATGACATGGAATAATAAACGGCTATACATGTTCATGACTATACATACAAAGAAAAATAAGAAAATAAGAAAATATAACTTTGCAACATCAAGCAGCATTAGGCATGGGCCAGTATAAGATTCTGACAGTATGATAAGCTTGAATTAAAATATCACGGTTTTGAGGTACTGAGATTACTGCTCTAAAATATATTATTTTTAAATGTCTGGGTGGCGAGGCAGTGGCGCAGTAGGTAGTGCTGTCGCCTCACAGCAAGAAGGTCGCTGGGTTGAGCCTCGGCTCAGTTAGTGTTTCTGTGTGGAGTTTGCATGTTCTCCCTGCGTTTGCTAGGGTTTCCTCTGGGTGCTCCGGTTTCCCCCACAGTCCCAAGACATGTGGTACAGGTGAATTGGGTAGGCTAAATTGTCCATAGTGTATGAGTGAATGTGTGTGGATGTTTTCCAGAGATGGGTTGCGGCTGGATTGGCATCCGCTGCATAAAATATTGCTGGATAAGTTGGTGGTTCATTCTGCTGTGGCGACCCTGGATTAATAAAGGGACTAAGCCGACAAGAAAATGAATGAATGAATGAATGTCTGGGTAAAAAACAAAAACTTTATATTACAATATATTTTCTTTTGAGTCTTTTTTCTTTTTTTGTCAGGCTAAAAAATTTAAATGAATCATTAACTTCTGCTGTCTTCATTAGTTTCAAAAACACATTTCTTTACGATTAAAAATGACATCTTTTATCTGCTGGAGATACTGTTGTCGTGAAAAAAAAAAAAAAAACTTAGATATACTGTAGGAATGGTACAGAAGAAAATATTGGCCGTTTTAAAACTTAGATTTTTCCGAACGGTATACCTTGAAAGCAGTTATTGTCTCATGCCTAAGCAGCATAACACTGTTTTTATGATGAATAAATTAATTCTTTAAAAAAAAAACTCAAGTAAAAAGACTCCAATGGCGCAGCCTGCTGGTTCGTGAAGAATATGGTCAATACTGACGAATTTTTCACTCAAATGTTTGCATATCATCAGCATGCTGTAATCCATTTCTTAAGCAGAAAAAGTCATTTTTAGACTAGCTTGTTGGCCAGTTGTAGTCAGTGCAATGCTAAACATTTTTGTTCCACTATAATTTGTTCGGTTTGTCACGCGTCATCCCACAGCAACATCATATAGTTTAAAATACTGTACAATGTTTTATAACAATTATTTGGCCCAGATGAAAAATATTTTATTTGCTCTATCAAAAAAATTATATAATTTAATACATTTAATAATACAATAATAAATGAATAATAAAATTAAAATGTTTTAGATATTTCTTTCAAATGATTTTAAATACCGTGTAAAATGGCCCAGATGGAAAATATTTTTATTTGCCTTATCAAAAATATAATAATTTTAATAATACAATAGTAAATGAATATTAAATTTTTTATGTATATATTTTAGATATTTCTAGCAAGATTTAAAATTTTGTGTAATAACAAGCAAGCAATACTTGTATCAACAAACTTTTTTTTCCAAAATAAACTTTATTTAAAATAAAAAAACAAATGGACAAATGTTTTAAAAGTTTTAAAAACTATAATAAACTAAACCTGTGCAAAACACAGGTCTGTCCAGGTCAATGTCCTTAGCAGTAAATACATGAAGCACGTTTAAACAAATGTTATTGTAAGGAAAATAATTAAAGCATTATAATAAATAATTTAAAACAAGTTAAAATGACCTTTTTGAATAATAAGATAAAATTTTTATTAAGTTGGATTGATGGTGATTGTATGGGTTTTGGCCAGATTGGGTAGAAAAACATGAACCTTAATTAAAGACCAAAGGAAAAATGAAGACTTGTTTATAAAAGATTTAAGACCTACAGCACAACATTTTAGTAAATTTAAGACTCCAAGGAAACCCTGTTTAAACACAATAGCCCTGGTCAATAGTTATTATAATAATGATGTAATTCTAATTCAGATACTATCTGTGAGAATTAGTAACAACTACTAGAAACAAGTTTAAACCCATGAAGAAGTTGATGAAAAAAGGGGAATTGTGATCAACGTGACATATGCAAACATATTCCTGTCTTTCAATGAGTGCTTTTGTGCGTTTAGGAGAACTAGGCAGCACACTCAGGGCTGCAAGATGGATTAAATTTAGTATTCTTATTAATAAAATATATCTGAATGAGGATCAGATGACTGAGTTGGTCTTTGAGGCCCCATTTACACTAATGCATTTTCGTTTTAAAATGCATAAGTTTTGCTACGGTTATGCCATCTGCCACACTACGCCGGAGTTTTCGAGTGCCGAAAACGAGCGTTTTGGAAACGCTGAAGAGGCCGTTTTCATTCTGAAATGAAAACGCTGCTGCTGCTCCGTCTCAGTGTGGATGGGGAAAACAGACATCTGAAAACGGAGGCGGGGCTGCCGACATTCGCCTCTCTGATTGGGGCTTTTCCTCAATATTAAGTAGCCTAACACACAGTTTAGTACCGCATCCTCTTCTTGTAAGTTCAGACTTCACAAGTTTGATCAAGGCTGCAGTCTCCCCCTCCTCAGTTTGATATGGAAAACAGACTATACCGAGGACACGGGTAAATCTTCAAAGGGAACAGTGTACTTTATAACTTCATTCACATCATCCTGGCTACGTTGTTTCACTTTCTCAACAATAAAATGTAAACATGATTTAAGGAACTGCCTATTTTCATTTTAATATTAGCAACTTAACAGACAGCAGAAATGCTGAGAGGTTGTGCTGCATTTATGAGCGTCATCTTCACTGTGTGGATATTTATAACAAAACGGAGCCTATAACAACTGCCTCTTTTCAATTTCAGTGAAAATACAAAACGCACCCTCTCTTTTGCTGAATATCAGTTTTAATAATCTATAATAGCCATTATAAAAGTATAACAGACAATAAGTTTATACATTATAGGAAATAAAGGCAAGCGATCTGTCAATATACAGAATGTAGGCTACGTGGTTACATTAATCATTAACTTATCTTTGCGCTTAGCCAAAACACGTTACCTGAGAACAAGTAATAGATTCCAATGACCAAAGTCGGGGAATATGTCGTTAGATAAAGACAACAAGATGAATGAAATCGCACGTTTAATAAATATAGTGAGATTAGATCCTGCGGGAGATGCTTGATGAGCAAGTCCGACGAGCAGAGCTCTCATCTGGGTAGAAATGCTGCATCGATTGCCTGAGAGTGTGTGTGTGGTCAGGTGATGTGCGTTTTTAGTGTTTTGGTGTGGACAGAGAGCTGTTCAGAAACGCTCTGTGGAATGCTAGTGTGGACATCGTTTTAAAACTAAAGCGCACAAGTGTAAAAGGGGCCTGAGAATAAAAATCAACCTGTTTGTTCCTGTGGATCTTCCTGTTTGACTGTGAATGTTTCTTCAATCTTCACATCTTCACTCTCCTCTTTAATAAATGCCATCTTTATAACAGTGTGGAGATCAGTGGATTCTGGAGGAGTTTTTTTCTCTGTGTTTGGACACTTTATCCTGTTTAAAATGAACAAAACAATAAAAATGTCCTGTTTAAAATAAATAAAATTATGAAAAGAAACAAAATAACTTCTCTTTAACACTTAACTACTTAAACAGTTTCTTTATATAAGAGTAATTAACAAAAAGAAATTAGGTAAAACGTTTCTTTAAAACACTTACTACACACTTTACTGTTACTTTATTCAAAAAATAGCCCTCGGTTACTGAGAATAAATTAGTACTACGTTGTATAAAGGGTTAAAATAATATTTCCAACAGCAGTAACATAATTTAGCATCATATAAAAACTAAAACTTTCAATCGGGTTATATCTGTAAACGTTTTAAAACAAACCTTACTCCAGTTGAATTACAGCGCTGACGTGGCGCCGCCTGATGACGTCACACGCCATGCCAAAATAAAAGTCTGTTTTGTTAAGCTTTTTTGCCACTTACTGTTGCAGTCAAGACTAGGGCCAGACGGAATCTGTAGATGTTTTTTGTTATTTCTGCTGAAAATTTGGGTAGACATCTGCGGATTTCTGCAGAATGTTTTTGGGAGTATCCAACTAGAACCTTAATATGGGAAATAAAAATAATACCTTTTTTTACTTTTATTTTATGTTTACAATGCAAATCCAAATAGATTCACTTTATTAGGTAAACAAAGCAAGTCTCTCATATAATATATCTATTAACCCAGATAGCAAAATACACTCGGGCCAGTTCCGGCAAGATTGTCGCCTGCCGGAGACTAACCCCTCGGCCCAACTTCGGCTGCCGGATGCCTGTGGACTCACTGCCGAATCAAGCGGGCCAGATGCGGCGGCCGTAAGCGAGCCGAAGCTGCGCATCCGCGCCGGAATCGGCGCGAGGGTAATGTGCGCTGCGGCCCGGAGCTGGCGCGACTCCGTATTTATACACCTTATAAAACCTTTTGGTATTACATTGGTACTTGATATATGGTATTACAACCATTTGAATTTATATAACAGCAAACACAGGCTATAATGTAAACACAAAGTGTAAGCACTGCGTTTAACCTTTGAATAAAGTGCAAACTGCATACATATTCTGTAACGAAAATAATCAGACAAATGACAAAATAAATAAATGTTAAACGTTTATTAATTGCATGAAAAAAATAGTACTAAATTTTATAAATAATTTTGTAGTGCACAAGAATATCAATATAAAAACAACAATAAAACAACACAATAAAGACACACAGAAAGATTTAAACAAAAAATCTAAAAATTACACACAAACACAGATGTTTTTTTTAAAACAACCCTGTTTTCCCAACAGACTTCAATTAAAAATATGTAAAAAACAGCTAAATTTTATATAAACCCAAATATAGAAACCAATTTAAGATATAGCAAGAAACATCTTAAAAATACCAATGACAATCCGTAAAATATCCAAGTCAAACTTGTAAAAAGTACTGCAGAATTCTGAAGAAACATCTTGAAACATTTTTTAATAAAACATTAAAATAATAATAAACAAACAAATATATATATATATATATATATATAATTGCAGAAGTATAAAGTCAAACTTTTTTTTTAAATAAACTTGAACAAAATCAATTGCACAAACAGCAAGACATGAGTGAGATGATTATACATTTCATATATATACACGTCTTGTGCAATTTTATATTTATAATTTTATTTGTATTACGTTTATTAAAAATGTATCAAGATGTTTCTTCAGAATTTGGCGCGCACACATACATACACATACCATACATATATACACACACACACACACATATATATACATATACATATATATATATATATATATATAAATGCAAATGAAAGAAACAAATTGTTCAAGTATCAGGGAACATCCTAATACACTTAAAATGTTGTTTAAAAAATAAAACAAAATAGTGATGTAGACATTTGACACATTAGCTTTCTCTTCTTTCTTCCTCCATCCCTGTCAGGGGCAAGTTGTAGCTACCTTGTAATGCATTTTTCCACTTCTTTATCAGTGGCGTGGTATGGACATTTGTCCTCACTCCATCTGTGATTAAAAGATAAACAGATAATTAGTAGTGAACAAGTACTAATGTAAAAAAAAAGAAATAATTAGGAAAAAAGTAGGCTACCTACGAAGCAAAAAAAAAAACAATAAAAAAAAAACAAATAAACTTAAAACACTTTGAAATTAGCAAGAGCTTGAACTTACCAGTTTCTTCATTTGTTCAGGCTGCTCCTTTAGTTGATTTTCAAGCTTTTCCAAATCAAATTGGCCAAAGGAAGGTCAAATGTGTTTACATCTGGAATTTCATCACGTCTGTTTTGGTTTTGTGAGAATCAGGCCCAGCTGCTGCTTTATGATGTTGCATGATTTTAAAACTTCAGTCAGTCGTGCTAAAAAAGAAAAATAACAGATTAGTATAAATCAACCTGTAGCTTATTCTCATACAACTTCTGTAAATACAACAGTGGGCTAGACACTGCTGATATTCTCTAGTTGATCTTTACTTTCTAGCTGCATTAAACCTTAACAAATTTAGTGATGTCTTCAATTCTTACAAAGACATCACGAGATGCAATAAGTTCTGTCTTGATCTCAAACTGCACTAGAACAAAGACTGTAAATGTTCATAGGTGTACTGCAGGAGTGTCCAAACTTTTTGGGTCGAGGGCCAGATGCAAAAAAACAAACGTTGTCGCGGGCCAAATTTTACATACATCACACAGACACGTGTGTATATATATATATATATATATATATATATATATATATACAGTTGAAGTCAGAATTGTTAGCCCCCCTAAATTATTAGCCACCGTTTATTTTTTCCCCAATTTCTGTTTAACGGAGAGTTAAACATTTTTTCCACACATTTCTAAACATATTAGTTTTAGTAACTCATTTCTAATAACTGATTTATTTTATCTTTGCCATGATGACAGTAAATAATATTTGACTAGATATTTTTAAGACACTTCTATACAGCTTAAAGTGACATTTAAAGGCTTAACTAGGTTAATCAAGTTAACTAGTCAAGTTAAGGTAATTAGGCAAGTTATTTTATAACAATGGTTTGTTCTGAAGACTTAAGGGGCTAATAATTTTGACCTTAAAATGGTTCATAAAAAAATTTAAACCGCTTTTTATTCTAGCCGAAATAAAACATAAGTCTTTCTCCAAAAGAAAAAATATTATCAGACATACTGTGAAAATGTTCTTGCTCTGTTAAAAATCATTTGGGAAATATTTAAAAAAGAAAAATAAATCAATGAGGGGCTAATAATTCAGACTTCAACTGTGTGTAGATAGATAGATAGACAGACAGACAGACAGACAGATCATAACAAGAACTGCTGCTTAATTGAATGCATGTAATAGCGACACCCGGTGGTTATTTATTGAATTACGTTCATTTTTGTATAGCGGGCCAGATTCTATTGATATTTATAAAAAGCCTCACCGCGGGCCGTAGTTTGGACACGCCTGGTGTACTGGAATGTACAGTATCTGTGCATCTTGATGGTGGTCTTAAGATTTCTGCCATAGTCATTGATGGTGATGGTACTTGTGGTGCTGCATTGATTTCTGAAATCTTCATACCTGCCTTTTATCCAGCCTCTTTGTTCCAAGTAATTTTTCTTCATCATGGTATAGATGTGTCTATACTGTCCTTTAATCAGATACATTTACAAAACAAAACATCACTTTAGTATAGTGCCAGGTCAAAACTCACAGGTTGTAATAGATCAATGACATAATGTTGACAGTATGTGTTTAAAATAATTGCACACAAACCTGTTCTGTCTTTAGATGTATGACAGGCGATAATCATCCTCATCTGTCTACCAGTCAGAAATCACAGTTGGGTTGGATGTTGGATGTTTGAGTCGAGCTTCCTCATATGCATCTATAATGAAACATCACATTGTTGTTAACCTCCCGTAAAGAAAAGTTCAAATCCTAAAATACTATCAAAGTTAATTAATGCATATAATACCTATAGTGTAAATAATCAGTACACAGAAGGTTGCACAAGATTTATTTGGAGATTCATGCAGAGTGACAGCCTTATGAATCTGAGACATAGATTTGTAAGATGGTCAAGCACATGCATTATTCTGTACCCATGAAGATTAACCTACCATTGTGAAAAATGTTTGATGATGATAGCCAATAACAATAAACCATTTCAGCTGTTTGTGAAGCAATTAGTAATGTAACGTCTGAAAAGCTCAATCTATGTTGAAAATATATCAGCAGTTAACAGCTTATAATGGACTTTTAGCACACAACTATAACATGCCTATTCACGTTCAAAAGAGTGTGCCATTGACTTCTATGGTCGTGATGTGCTGCATAATGATCTCACTAACCTTTGTTAAACAAGAACAATAAGACTTAACCAACAACTATTGTTACCCATTCATTTAAATCAGAATTTATCACTGTCAATAACATAAAAAAAAATCAAAATCTGCTTTAAGACGTTCAGTTTTACATTAACTGACCATTACAGCTTGAACAAAAGATATAATTGATTCACATAGGCTAACACATATGAATTAAAGTGCACACTAATATATTTCTCTTGGATAATTTAAAGAGAATAGTAAACAGTCGAGTTTCGATCATTTTTCGTGACTAACTGCATAAACAAGATAAACAATAATATTTTATTAATCCAAAACGATTAGTTTTTATTTACACATAATCACAGAATTAATACTGTTGGATAAGTATACGCCTGTACAATGATTTTTTTCAACATCCACGGTACTTTATAATGTTAAATCAGGAAAAAAACACGTTTTGCCATGTTAGCGTTAATGGATTCGTCTACAGAAACTTTCTTTAACGCAAAGTTAGCATACACACAAATTCGTTTCATGTTTCTTTAAAATAATTAAAATAGTGTTCAGTTACTACACACGTTACAATCTAACATTGTGTAA